AAACAGTATATTATGGTTATCATAAGGCCCTGATACATGTACGTGAAGGATGCGAGGTACGTCCATATGGCAAAAACCTGAAGAAGTGGGTAGTGCTTGGTCTGTCTTTGCTATCGTGACCATCTTCAATTGCAATTCTATTCACGGCTCTTGGACGTGCAAGTTCGTTGGAAACTTTTCTCACTGTTTAACCGCCTGTGTGCTGACAGGCACGCCAGATGGGATTGTGCACTTAGTCACATCCACTTCCACGTGATGGCCAGCAATAGTCATTGCGATTGCAGCGGGTTGTATAAAAACACGTGGTTACTGTAATACCGTAATGTTGTCTCGAGTCGGAGCGAACGGTATCGTCTGCATGATGTTCGGTATGCCAAGCAATGGTATCAACATCAACGCTGCTTTGACGCTTTTCCTGAATAGAAGTTGGTCTCCACCCGTTTCATGGATAGTATTTCAGGGAGAATGTTCCAAATAGAAGATCCTTTGAACAATTAAACTCACTTCATCTTATCGAGCTCGCTTGTGCTATGGCTCTCACGTACTTTTGACCATAACACCCGAATCACATTACAAATAAAGAAGAGATTGACCTAAAACCAGTTTGTTGAGGTGATTGGTCGGTACTGATTTCTTCACGACCCTTGGCTTTTCATTGGTTCCAATTTGGGTATTTAATGAATGGAATACTTTGAAAGGGATCTCAGTATTTGAAACAATTTATTCAAGAGCACGGCTAATCTCTAGCTCTCATTCATATTTATGAAAATTCTTATGCTAACAATAATTTCGTATTTATACGCTGTTAGCTTTTTGAAAGACAAATGGGTTGATTTTTGAATGTGGGTGGGCCTCAGTGGGCAAAACATGGAAGCAATTACGAACTACTCTCCAAAATTATTGTTTTAATGTATATGCAAGATCAGGGCATGATCGATCGCCAGCTCAGGGCATTTACGGTCTTGGAGGGTAAGTGGAAGCCTCACAGACAGCATTTACTCTGTTCTCACTAGACTAGATGAGCTTTCTAGATATGGAATCTACGGAAGTGAGACTCATTCTCTCCCGGACATCAAATCTCCTTCGTAATAATTTAGAAAACACCAAATGCATTCAGTCAGTAGTTCCGAGTATTTCGACCAGAAACACTCTAGGAATCGTAAAATGAATTGCAACACGTTTTTCAGACATTACCGTAGCAAATAGAGGCCTATCAAAGGTAAAGAAACTAAACGTGCAATAAATGCAATAAACAATCAATGAAATAAGATTCTCGCAAGCTCATCGAAGGTGGTTGAAGTTGAAATTGCAGCTTATTGATAGGTTAGAAGGAAGGTAAGTTACTGGATGTCAAATTAATGTTATCACTCACCACTAATTCAGCCATTCGTGGGCCGTCGAGAATCCAGAATTCGGGTTCCAGATAGTACGAACCCAGACATCGCTCCACCTGAAAAACTGGCTGTTAATGGCCGCAACTGGAGGTGTCGTCAAAAATGAAGCACCTTGAAATCTTTCTTTATCAAAACTACAAACAGCCATATCAACGTGTGCAGTAGAGGGATTCCTGAAACGACATTAATACACGGATTATCAATCTCCATCAAAATTACTAAAAAAGGAACAAAAGGCATAAAAAGGGCTGTTACCTAAACTCTAGCAAAAAGGATTGATACCTAATTTTATCCTGCCATTATTTTTTCTACTTCTATTAGATTTGAATGTACTTTCTTACGCGTGATCCCCAAAGCAGTCAAGGCAGGTGCCTGCCATGCTCCCGAATTGAAAACAGCAAGCACCAGCTGATTCTCGGATTAGACTTGTAACTTTGTATGAGCAGCTTGATTTTCTCGCTTCAACGCAAGTAACGTCGTAATTCACACCTTCAATGTTTCTGTCGAGGAAGGATAGACAAAAGTACGTCAGGAATCGACCTCGACGGAACACACTGGTTTTTTTCACATTACAACTGGACCCAGAAACTTGCCATAGTGCTACAAAGATAAACTCACCGTAACCGGCAATTAAGTATGGTGTCAGTCGCGGCTCAGAGTTGAAAACAGTGAGTACCAGCTGATTGTGTAAATAAAAGCCTTCTAAGAACATCCAGCCAAAAGCAACAGTCTTGAAGTATTCAAGAAGGAAATACATCGCTTCGCAAACAAATGGCTGAAAATACTAGTTCAATGAACCATAAATACTATGAACAATGTCAGGGCGTATACTTGAAATATCAAAGTTCGACCAATCTCCAAAGTAGTGATCATATACTTGAAAAAAGGCTGGCACAGCTTCAATGGCATTCTAGTCGAGCCTGCTTCAACTGATTATATGTTCTGATGTCTAGCTCAGTCGGCCCGTGCATCGAATCCCAGCTCGATATTCCTCCAGGCCAATCAAGCCTTTAGTCCCTCCAGGTTTGGTTCATCGGAACCACACTCATCTGGGAGGGTAGGGCGCTGACTTAACATCGGTTGTTTACCGAAAGCCACCGCACGGGCCACATACGCATTCAAATCGCCACCGTCTTTCTCAGTGGTAGTTGAATACGGAAGCACATCCCAAAACGGGGTTGACTGATGCTAAAGACTTGATACTTATGCTTTCCTTTCCCTCATCGTAACACATTGTCAACCCGGAAGCTTATAACTCATCTTACATGAAGTATTCCCTCAAAGCTCGAGCAACAAGATAAAGCAAAACGATCCGATCTGGTTGTGGGAAAATAGATGGTGAAAAGAGTTAAGAATATGAATTTTACTTAGAATATGTCCCTCTCCAGAAAATTCAAAAGAATCAGACAACATCGTCATAGTAGAAAAACTCCAGATCGAAATGTTTATCTAAAAAAAGCCTTTCCAGGTTTCGATTTGGCGAGGTCCACATTTCGCTTTGTCTTCAATGTGTTCTGCGTAAGATGGAGCACATACAGTAGAGCCGTGACTAGCGTAAAGGGAGCCTCGATTGAGCACTGCCACCTTTTTCTATTTAATCCTTCTCTACAAGAAGAGCTCAGAGAAGCCTGTCTTGAGGGTTTGCAGTAGCTGCGTGCGGGTGACCGAGGGCAAAAAACGAAACCACGAGCAAGAAGGAACAGAAAATCCTTGCTCACTTAATGGCTTATTATGCCGACTTACACTTTTAAGCCCATGAATTTGTATTGTAAGCAGCAAACTAGATTTGATCCGCAGGTAATGTCGAAAATGGAATTAATAACAATTCAAGTATTCATGAAATGAGAGAAGTACTCGATGAAAACTATAGGTACCAAATAACGTGCAAGCACACTCACCATGGTGTTGATAGTCTTTCCATCGGAAGGACTCTGATGTGAGACATGATTGCCAGTAAAAATCAAATCAATGTATAAAACAAGGCGAATAATGACAACCATAAGGATGGCAATCATCAAATGTAAATGCAGCATATTACGGAAGACCCGGAGTCGTCTGAAATGTGAATAGTGATGAGTTCCGGTACTCCAATTTAGTCTTGTACATGTAGACGTTTTCTTTGCCTTATTTCTATTCAGTGAATGTAGTAATACACGTACGATCTCCAATTAAGTGCATTCATGATACCTCGCAACAAGTTTGCTACTGAACTACCAAAAAAATCGGCTCACTACTTGCTTCCAACTAATACTTTGATTATACATTTCGAAGAGTCTCTATACTGTTAAAGGAAAACAGCTGATAAAACCCACCGAAAATATGAGAAAATTCCGATCGAGACTATAAGGCTGACTAACGACAACCCCAACCCGACAAATTCGAGTTTCCGTGCATTTTTGGCCACTTCCTGTGCAATCTGTAAAAATGATTGAAATATGACGTGAGATCAATGACAGGATTGCGACCAGAGGTAGCGAGATAACATGGACTTGTTGGGTGGATCAGTGAGCTTGTTCCGCAAAAACTCGAACTTGTATGTGTAATCGGTTCAATAACCACTTCAGATCCACTTCACCACGTCTCGCTACCACCTGACAATCCAGAAAAGAGTGAAGCGCAACAAACACGCAGTGTGTTGAACGATTGCAGATGCAGGTGTGAGCGCAATGAAGTCACATGCAAGTTAGTAAATGGCGATCAGTGGCAGTGATTAGTGATAGAAGAATTCAGTGACACTTGGAAGATGAGTGAGTTAGACGCGCTGACACATCATATCAGGGGCTTCCCACTCGATCTCGGAACAGTTAATTGCAAAGTGCTCCTCAACTGAACCACCGCCTTCTGATATCCATCATAATTTTTGTGTAACAAGAAGTTTAGATGAATTCCGGATCTAAAAACTACTTTCGAAAAATCAAACGGCAGGACAGCTTCACACCGCTCGGCACAACAGCTTCCAATCAACTCCTGAGGTTTTCTCAACATCACATAGGTTTCCTTTCGTTTTAAACGTAGTAGAAAGTAGTATGAAACCTTCGAAGTATGCAGCTATTCGACTACAGGGACGAAAATGTATTGAAGCAATGTGGCTCTATCATTTTTCCGTGAAGTCGACGTTGAACTCCAGAAGAATTTCAAAAACATTCCCAAAAGCGATGTTGAAATGTTTCGAAAAATAAACTTGAGTATGGGCGAGACTAGGAGGGTCCCGGCAGTTGTAATCCCATATCAATCTTTTTTGATTAAGAAGAAATGACCATGGGGAAAAGCAATCACGGTTTGCCCCCACGTAAGGTACGTGAGTGGACTCCGTTTAACAGCAAAACATTTGATGATTCCGCCACTTGATCACCTCTATTAAGTTCAGAATCCCTACTGAAAGATAGTTAGCGGCCTTCAGTGCCAAACTTCTGCTTCTGCCATAACGGTGTGTGAAATGGGAGAATGATGGGTCACTGACTGCATATAATAACGTGTGAGGGTGAGAGATAAATGGGGAAACGAAGGAGAAGAACAGTCACGATTTCGTACGGGGGATGAAGCGTAAAGGAAAATGTGGGTTCGTAGGATACGTTGAGTGATCATACATACCATAAATAGGAGAAAAAGGAGCAGGGGGAAAAAAGTGGATAGGAGAGCGGTTTAAGTTTGATAACAGGATCAAATTTGCGGAAAGAGGGTAAGCGATTCTCGCTATATACTAGACTAAACTCTATGGATCACACCATGCTTCCCCACATCGCTTTTGCAACGTGATGCTGTAGGATTTTTGTTTGCAAGGAAATCACAGCAACGCAAAAAGTGGCGTGATTTGGAAAATCTTGGGCCTACCCGAATGAGTCACTTCGATGAAGGGCCTCAGTTCAACTCCATATTCTCTACGTAAGTGGCTTACAAGTGTGCAAAAGCAGCTTGTGGAGTCGTCATCAGTGGGAGTTTCCCCTTTAGAATTTGCCAATTCTGGAGCTTTGTACCTGCTCCGTTCTGGAGTGATTTTCGGGGGCATCCCAACAAAGTTAGTGGCTGCATGTTAACGGTAAGCTAGGGACGATGTTCAATATTACCGGACGAATGCCCTACAGCCCTCCCATGGATGTTCAAGGGACTTTAAAAATGAATTTCGATTTTTCCCGGTAATTAGACAAGATAAGTGATCGAAGCGGTCAATGTTGCGTTTTTTTAATGGGTAATGAGAGACTGGGTGGGTTATAGCACATGCCAACACACACACGCGTACAGTTTTTTTGTTAAAGTCTGACCCCTAGAGATTCATTGTTGAGGTTATTCATGATGTAGATCACTTCATCCGTATAGCACATGGTGAAATTTGTCCAGCCATGGTCTCTGGCAAAGTCGTTCTCCGTGCGTCCTTGCCAATTACCGGTCCAGTGGCATTTCTTCGTGATATTTCCTATAAGCGTAAACACCGAAATTGTTTATATACAGCAAATATTCCAAATCCAAACACTGCCATGGCTGACGTACCCCTGTTACTCTTACGTACAGCCTGTTTTAGGAACTTTCTAGTTCGCAAACTTCGAAAACCTTTTAAAAATCATAATTCATGGGTTG